CATGCCTTTAATCCCAGCACTTGGGAGGCAGAGGCAGGCAGATCTCTGAGTTCGAGGCCAGCCTGGTCTACACAGCGAGTTCCAGGCCAGCTGACGCTACAGGGAGACCCTGTCTCAAAAAGACGAAAAAAATGAAAAAAAAGCCAAGTCACAAAGGAATACATATTGTATTGTTCCATTCATATAAAATATTAGCAGTTGGGGATGTGGTTAACTCAGCAGAACATTTGCCTAGCATGCATGAGGCCCTGGGTTTGATTCTTGACCACACACACATGAACACACAGACACAATGACACACAACACACACAATCTTCTTACATAAAATATTAGAAAATGAACAAAAAAAAGGTGGGGGGGGGGACCGGAGAGACAGCTCAGCGGTTAAGAGCACTGACTGTTCTTGCAAAGGATCTGGGTTTGATTCCCAGCACCCATATGGTGGCTAAAAACCATCCAAAACTCCAGTCCCAGGGGATCCAACACTCTCTTCTGACTTCTTCAGGCACTGTACTACATAGATACACTTACACATGCAAGCAATATATATACTCATACCTATAAATTTTAAAAATAAATAAATACAAAATATTAGAAAATACAAACTCTTCTATACTGACAAAAATAACAGACCAGTGGTTATCTGGGGATGGGGTAGCATGGTGAGGAGTGAGGGAAGGATTATCAGTGGCCACTTCTTGGGCTAACAGGTATCTTGATTGAGGTGATGCTCAGGATTGTTCACAGTAAATGTATGCAATCCATCATGCTAATTATGCCTCAATAAAATTATTTAAAAAAAAAAACCCTAAGTACTTGAAGTGATTAAAGAAAATAATCACGCAGCCGGGTGTGGTGGCGCACGCCTTTAGTCCCAGCACTCAGGAGGCAGAGGCAGGTAGAGCTCTGTGAGTTTGAGGCCAGCCTGGTCTACATAGTGAGTTCAAGGCCAGCTGGGGCTACAGGGAGACCATACCTCAAAAACAAACAAACAAACAAAAAAACCCAACAAGAAAATAATCACCCGGGGCTGGGGAAATTAAGAAAATAATCACCCGGGGCTGGTTAAGAGCACTGACTGCTCTTGCAGAGGAGCTAGGTTCGATTCCCAGCATCCACATGGCAGCTACGAACCATCCTTAACTCCAGTTCCAGGGGAATCCGAAGCCCTCTTCTAACCTCCGTGGCATTGCACAACACGGGTGCACTTACCTACATGCAGGCAATACATGCATACACATAAAATAAATTTTTTTAAAAAGGGGATAATTAAAAGGGTAGTATACCTTATTTTTATTCTTAATGAATACCCCAAAGGAAAAATCTCTACAGTCCACTTTAGAAATTTTCTAAGTGAAATGAGAGGATAATCATTCATATCTTAAACACTGTACATACCATGACAGATTTGTTACTACTTTTTAAAATGTGAGGTTCACATCCATCACAAAAAGAGACCTCACCGTCTTCAATGGCATTTTTGACTGCACAAAGTCCATCTCTTATTGTATCCTTGATTTGTATGAGAGTATGTTTATTTGGTCCTTTAACCAATAAGGTGACAGAGTGAGGGTTAACACAGTCTTCAATAAAAGTGAACTTTTCTTCACCCTAAAGGATGACAAGAGAAGACATAATTTTAAGGTTTGGGATACAGCTTAGGGGTAAAGGTAGTAGAGCATTTGCCTATCATGCATGAGACCCAGGCTTTGATCTTACCCCACACACACACAAACACACGAAGGCAACACAACACATAATATTCTGTATCATTCCTTTCATATAAAACAGCATTGTCGGAGGCCGGAGAGATGGCTCAATGGTTAAGAGCACTAGCTGTTCTTGCAGAGGACCCAGGTTTGATTCCCAGCACCCATACGGCAGTTAACAACTGTCTTTAACTCCAATTTGAGGATCCAACACCCTCTTCTGACCTCCATGGGCATTTCACGACATAGGTGCACTTACAATACACTCATACACATAAAATAAAAAAATAATAATTAAAATAATATAGTATTGCCATTATGAAATTTGAATCTAGTTTCTATTAAAATCTAATCTTCATGTGAATTTTTCTTACCAAGCATAACTAAAGATACATTTTAAAGTAGTTAAATTTTTCTACCACTTGGGAGGTTGAGATAGGAAGATTCTGAGTTTAAGACCAGACTGGGCTATATAACAAAACTTTTAATAAACATTCAGGTAAATAAATTGTAAACTATCTCCTGTAGGTTAGTCAGACCTCAAAATGCAAAATGTGAATTAAAAGATACGTCAAAAAGGAAATTTAGGAATCACGTTATAGCCACTATTCATAGAAATACTCACTAGTGAATACTCAAATACAAGGCCAGCATGCCCCAAGCCATCTTCGTTGAGGTCTTCAAAGGAATTGATAGCTAATCCTCCACAAGCAAGAGTGAGTCTGAAATTACACGTGTCACCTTCACTTTGGTTATGAAAAATACAAAAGCTAATTTCTTTCTTTTTCTCTTTTTCAGACAGGGTCCCACTGACCTTGTAATCCTGTCATGGAAATTCTCCTACCTCAACCTCCCAGGTACTGAAATTATAGATATGAGCCACCATGCTCTACTAAGGCTACTTTGATTTTTGATCTTTTTGAGACAGGGTCTCCCTGTACCCCCTGCTGTCCTGGAACTCACTATGTAGACCAGGTTGGCCTTGAACTCACAGAGATCTACCTGCCTCTGCCCCCCACCCCCCGAGTGCTGGGGTTAAAGGCTTGCATCACCATGCCTGGTTCAAAAGGTATTTTTTTAAATATTTTATTTATTATTTTTGTTTTATGTGTATGAGTGTATTGCCTACATGTAGGTAAGTGCACCCATGTCGTGCAATGCCCACAGAGGACAGAAGATGCCATTGGATTCCCTGGAACTGGAGTTACAGACAGTTGTTTATTGCCATGTGGATGCTGGGATTCGAACCCGGGTCTTCTGCAAGAACAGTGTTCTTAACCGCTGAGCCATCTCTCCAGCCCCAAAGGATATTTATTTAAAAATTAAAGGATATCTTAACACAGAAGACTATACTGTGCTAGTTTATATGTTGGGAAGTAGTTGATTTTTAGTTGACAAAATAGTATATATTTACCAGGTACAGAATGGTGAACATTACCTCTCCTATTTATCGTTTTGTAGTGAGAACACTTATCACTCTTTTAGCATTTTTCAGTAATACATATAGTTATTAACTACAATCCCCATTTTGCACAATAAATCCTTGAGCAGATCCCTACTCCCCAAAAGAAATTTTATATCATTTCACAAACATCTCCCCTAAGCTCTTCATCCTCCTCGGCACTCCAGCCCCTAGCAACTATCACTCATATCCACTTCCAGAAGCTCAGTATTTTCAACTTCCACATATAAATGAGATCATACAGTATCATAGCTTTTCTAAACTCTGTTCTGTGTGCGGAATGAGGTATATGTATGTGTGTGTACCATGTAGGTGAGGGTGCTCACACCCATGTAGATGCATGTGGGAGCATGATCTCAGGTCCTCATGCTTGCATAGCATGCATTTAACATGCTAAGCCATTCCCTGGCCCCAAATCTGCTTGTTAAAGATGGAAACATAAAAAAGAACTTTCCTTTGTACTTCAACAAAGTCCTGGATTTAACAACTTTGATTTTTAATAGTTCAATTAATTACTGATATTAGGAACAAAATTTGGAATTTAGACACTACTATTTTGCTCAGAAATATTTACTTATGAGCTACAAAGAATATGTAGGAGATAGTTTCAATCTAATCTGTTTCAAACAAACAAACAAAAAACCTAAGAGGGAGGCTACAGGAATGGCTCAGTGATTATGAGTACTTACTGCTCTTCCAGAGGACTTGAGTTTGGTTCTCAGGACCTACGTCAGTTAGCTCACAGCTACCAGGGGGATGCAATGCCCTCTTCTAGCCTCTGTGGGCACACACACATACTCTTAGCCCTAAAAAAATTTAAACCACTATTTCTCAAACTTTTTTGTCTCAACAAACTTTGCATTCTTAAAAATTAAGAAGAATTCTGGGGGCTGGAGAGATGGCTCAGTACTTAAGAACACTGGTTTTTCTTGCAGAAGACCCAGGTTTGAATCCCAACACCCACATGGCAGCTAACACCTGCCCGTAACTCCAGTCCCAGGGGATCTGACAGCCTCCACTGACCTCTGCAGCACTGCACGGCATGGGTGCACTTACCTACACGCAGGCAATACACACGTACACATAAAATAAAAATAATAAATAAAAATATTTTTTAAAAATTAAGAATTCTAATCTATGGGTAGAACAATGAGTAATTAGGAAGTGGTTTAATACTGTGTCCATTTAGCAGAATAATAGTCTCAGGTTCTCCCCTAGGGCCTACGGCCTGTCTAGCCACAGGTTCTTGGCCTAGATAACAGTGTCAGGTATGGGTTCCATCTTGTGGATTCAGCCTTAAATCTAATCAGAAATTGAAAGGTTATTCTTTTTTTATAAAAAATAACTTATTTACATAATTTTTATCTACAGAACATCACTGCTTTCTTTAGAACAAGAAAATTCACAAATGACAGATATTGCTTCTTTTCTCAAAAAATTCTTCAAGCAAGGTAGTATACATGGTCACTTGCATTTGAAATAATATGATGGTAAATAGTAGATATTAATATGTGAAAGGTTATTCTTGTAACACTGTGTCATTACTGCACCAGTGGGCATATCTTGCCAGGCCAATCATTATTGTTACTTGCAGAATTCACAGATGAGTAAGGCTGACAATTGAGAAGTTATTTTTGGTAATTAACAAGAGACCCCATACTGGTCAATGTGCAGAGAATAAGAGATTGTGGAGTGCTTAGCCTTAAATGGAACATCTACCTCACATCCCCCAAAGGCTCAGAGAGCGTTACAGAAGAGGGAGTAGATGACAACAAACTGTTTTCTGGACTCAACAGGGAAGTTGTGCATATGAACTCAGAGTTCCTGATGTGCCTTCCCTCAATGATGGACTGCAACCTGGAAGCTGAAATAAACCCTTTCCTCCCCAAGTTGCTTTTGGTTATGTTTATCACAGCAACAGAAAGCAAACAAGGACAACTGCTTTTACATCATCATTGCAAACATCAACACAGTATAAAAGGCATTATTATTATGAAGAGTTTCCACCTCAAACATCCTGCAAGGGTCTTGATATGGACAGGTCACACTTTCAGAAATGCTGAAGAACAATGAAATACTTGAGACGTAAGCTTCTGTCTTACCTTTTTAAAACTTTTATGTGTATGAGTGTTATGCCTGCATGTGTGTAAGTACACCTGTGTCATGCAATGCCTCTGTCTGGAGGACAGAGAGGCGTCAGATCCCCTGGAACTAGAGTTACAGGATGGTTGTTAGCCACCATGTGGGTCCTGGGATTTGAACCTGGGTCTTCTGCAACAGCAGTCAGTGCTCTTAACTGCTGAGCCATCTCTCCAGCCCCCGTCTTACCTTTTGATTGATGACAACAAATCCTTTATTGGACTCAGCACAGACCTTCTGTTTTAGGTCTATTATTTTCTGTACTCAATCTTCAATAAATTTTCTTTCAGCTTTTACCAATTTCTCTTTCTCTTCTGCAGTCTTATAAAAGAAACCAGAGCTCACTTCTCTAAGGATTAATAAGAACAAATTATTAAACTAGGTATGATGGCACATGCCTATAATCCCAGAAGGGGGACTGAAGCAAAAGGTTCACAAATTTGAAGACACAGGGGCAATATAAGACCCTTCCTCAAGAAAACAAAGAGCAAAGCAAGCAAAAAAGCCAGCAAAAATGGGGATTGGGGAGAGAAGAGGAGTCTATATGAAACATCTGGTAATGAAGAAAGATTTAAAAACTACTTTTTGGAAAAAGCAAGAGCTAGGCATGGTAGCTCACACTTGTAATAGCAATACTCAGAAAGCTGAGGCAGGAGAGTTGTGGCAAGTTAGAGGCCATCCTAGACTGTAGATTGCAACTCTGTCTCAAAAGAGGAAGTGGGGACATATAGAGGGAGGGAGGGAGGGAGGGAGGGAGGAAGAAAAAAATCTGGGGACTAGAGATGGCTCAGCAATTAAGAACATACAGTGCTTTTACAGAGGATCTAAGTTCCATTCCCAGCACCCACATTAGCAGCTCACAACTGCCTGTAACTCAAGTTCCAGAGGGATCTGACGCCTCTGGCCTCTGTGGATATCTGCACTCATGTGCACATACCTAACACACAAACACATACACATAATTTTCAAATAATAATAAATTTTTAAAAAAGGAAAAGAAAAAATGTAAAGAGTCTCAAAACTATAAAGACAAACTGACACGTACTTTTTTTCATATTCTAGTGATACATCGCAAATAAGGATAAATGCATCTTGTACTTGTTTCTTCATACTTGGATGGCGGGCACCATGGTCCAAAACTAATCCTCAGATCAACCTATTAGAACATGAAATATTTGTTTGAATATACATTGTAAAATTAGAATGATACTAAAAGTTGTAAACAGTCAGAGCACACTGTTCCTTGTATACTTCAACCCTAACATATAATTAGTAGAATCAGGAAAGAGAATCTGTTTTAACACAATATGACCGTTAGTCAAAATGAAAAGTCAATCCAGAATTATTCTCTAATTATATGACTCAAAAAGAGGAAACAGCTGATCAAATAATAAAAAGTAGGCAAACAATGAATTTCATAGGAACATTTGTTCAAAATAAGTATATGGAATAACTAAAAATTGTTAGCCTAAACGTCCAACACAATAAGGTATTGTTCAGCAAACAATGGTCCAACAATTTGATAGTGATGAAAACTATGTAGCAACATGGAAAATATTTATAGGTCTAGGCAATAAGTACAGAATAATAAATTGAATCTTGTATATGAAACATGGCCATTCTTTTATTTTTTATTTTTAATATTTTATTATTTTTATTTTTTATGCATATGAGTGTATTGCCTGCATGTATGTGAGATCACCCATGTCCGTGCAGTTCTGTGGAGATCAGACGAGAGCTTCGATTGCCCCGGAACTGGAGTTATGGACTGTCATTAGCTGCCATGTGGGTGCTGGGAATCGAATCTGGGTTCTAACCAGTGCTCTTAACCACTGAGCCATCTCTTCAGCCCTGGTGTTCATATTTTTAGGGTGCTAAAAATTGGGGTCCTTCAATAAGCAGAAATTTGTTGTTTCACTGCTGCAGGTGCTGAAAGTATGAGACCAAGGTGCCAGCAAGGCATTCCTTACCTAGCTTTGGTTGTTGCTGCTGGGCTTTGTTCTAGTCTTTGCCTCTGTGATCATAGGGCCGTCTTTGCCCTTGGTGTCTTCATACTCTTCTCTGTTTTTGCTTCTGTCACCAAATTCCCTTTTTTTTAATATAAGGATACATTCAGCATTATGGATTGGGCCAACCCCAATAACTCATTTTAATATCTACCTTTGTAAAAAGTTTTAGAAGTTAGGGCTTTAACATGCCTTTGAGGAGATATAATACAACCTCCATGCCATGTTTGTGGACTTTATATATGTATACTCACATAGCAGCAGTCTTTTATATCTGGCTGATTTCAACATTGTATTAGCAACATTCATCCATGTTGCAAATACCAGTACTTTATTCACATCAGTCCTATATAATGTTGGCAAATTATGACCTGAAAGAGTTGGTGAGTTATGGCCTGAAAACCAAATGTGGTCATGATTCATTTTTTATGGTATATATGTCCAAGCATTGTAATCTTTCATTCATGTACAACATTTTTTAACTTGGCAATACATCCTTATAAAACATTGAAATGATCCGTAGGTTGTGAAATAAAAGCAGTAGGTCCTCTGCTTATCCCTATAGCCTGCCTAACCTAGCCCTTGCTAAATAACCTCTACTGACAGTTTTGAGGTTTTTATAATTTATTTTATAATTTATTTACTATTTATTGAGCTTTTAAAATTTCATATATTTCCTACTCACATCCATACCCTCTCCCCCATCCTAT